TCAGCTCTACCCTGAAAACAGTCATGTGTTAACAGCAGTGACTGGGTTTGGAGTCATAAGCAGTTCAAGGGTAACTAAGAAGACACGTTTCATTGCTGGGGCAGCTGAGAGTGGAGGAATGGGGCTCCTGGGAAGGGCTTTGCTAAAGGGCTGGGAGCAGAGATGAGCGAACAGGATGGATACAAATGCAGGAGTGCAGGGATGCTCAGGAAAGGGCAGGGGCTGGTGGAGGGGCAGGTAAGCCAAGGATGATAGGAGGCAGCACCAGAGGCTGCCATGCGGAGCTTGGACAGACAGGAACACCCAGAGCAGGAACACCTTACTCTGTGGCTGCTTGTTTTCCCTAGGGCATGGAGAAAGGTACTTGACTGCTCTGTGACTCAGTTTATCCATCTGTAAAATGGGCAAGGAGTTTTACTAACTACCTCCTAGGCTTGTTGTAAGGGCTCAGGAGCCATTCGTAAGGGTTCAACAATGTCAGAGAAAGAAATCAGAGGGTTTGCATTGCAAGTAGCAGATTTGTAAAACAGAGTGAAGGAAGCTAAACACTGTCTGAGAGGTGGAGTAGGCACAGGTGCAATCACTCCTTGAACACACATGGGTGATTGCTGCTTAAAGGCCCTGCTGGGAACTTTGAGGGCCACTGCATAGGACATGGCACATGCTATAGTCTGGATGTTGGCTAAGAAACATACACACACTTCTAAGAAAGTTGAAAATGACAGGTAGCAAATAGTGAAAAAAGAAGTAAGTCCTGGACCCAGACAGCCAGGTGAGGCAAAGCTCCCCAGTTCGGGGCACCGGAAAACCTTCTGTGAAAGTTGGAGCCTTGGCCTTGCTGATGGGTGAGATTCTGAAAGGCTCCTTGACCAGGCAGGGCATCTTCTATAAGCATCAGAATCACCTGGATAAACTAGTGAGAATGGGCGTCCCCAGCCCACCCCAGAGATACAGCAGGCTTGGGGCTGTCCCTGGAAACCATTGTAACAATTGCCACTGGTGGTGCTGCTACAGGTCATGGGTGCACCACACCTGGGGAGGATGAGGATAGAACCCAGGTTGTTCTGCACAAAAGCACACGCATGTTTGAGGGCAGGTGTAGAGACTGTAAGGAGAGGTGGGGGATGGGTCAGGGCTTAAAATGGGAATAGATCATTTCATTTAAAAAGTACAAATGAGGCAAAACAGAGCCAGGCACAAAAGCCCTGCCGCACTGGGTGCTGATGTTCTCCTAGGCACTTGTTTCTCAATGGGTAAGTAAGTTGTCACTGCAAATAGAAAATGCAGGGTAATTACAAATAAAGGCTAAGTTTCAAAAGGCTATTACCCAGATAATTTGCCTCTTTTTGGATTTAAGCAAAAGACAATCCTTGGGTTACCCTACATATTTTGTAAACTAGATATCTTTTGTTGCCAGACTAAAGATTTGGTATAGAAAGTATTTTGTTTATAACTAGAGAAGCAAAGACTTAATCCCATTTTGGGCAGGTTACAAAAGGTAAAAGTGACATTCATTTCTTATAAAAGTAACTAATATTAGCACGTATATTTATCAGGCATGTTATTCTCCCCAAATCAATTGTGATGAACTTTCCTTTGCCTCTGCTGGAGCAGAGGGTTGGGGCCCCGTTTTCAACTGGGGAGGACAAGAAGAAAATGGCAGTAGTGTTAGAAAACGGGGTGTCTAGAGGAAGCTGGAAGTGATACAAGTCTGGCCCAAGCCTCTATTCTATTGGAAGCAGCAATGGTACCAACATGCAAAACACGGTAAAAACCACTACTATATTATTATTACTGTTAGCATTTTTATTACTTACTCTGCCCATGGAGTCACTTAAGTATGTTGCATATTAAATATAGTCTTCCCAACAGCCTCATGCAATGGGCATGATCACCATTTCATGCATAAAGTAACAGAAGTGCAGTACACTTAAGACAGTGGATAGAGGTTTTGGTGGAGACTGAACGTGCAGAGGTGATGGATCAAGTCTTAGGAGAGATCCCTGATGGAGAAGAGGGACTGGGGAAAGAATATTACAGTGTCCCACAGACAGGGACCACAGGCTGGGGCTAGACAACGGAAAGGCTCAAAAGCCAAAGGAGGATTTCTGGGCAAAGGTGATGGCCACCCATAGTCAGGGCGCAACCCAGGATGAATGCTCAGAGAATTTGATTGGACTTGAAATTTGGAATCTGGGAGTGTTTTTTGGTCATCAAGGGTAGAATTCCTGATGGCACTAGTGAGGCAGGATTGGGGAGGTATAGAAACAGAAAGTAGAAAATGAAAGATAAAGGCAGTGGATATGGACCATCGGTCTATAAAGTATGGCTGCAGAAAAAGAGAGAAAAGAACTGAAGACTTTTCTTGATGATCCAGACCAGGTCTGATGGAGGCAGAGTCAGGGTCAGGAACAAGAGGGAGACATACACACACTGGGCTGTAGAGTGATGGAGGGTGAACCCACAGGTCCTCACACACACACTGAATGTGGAATGGGTCTTCACGGGGTGGTGCCCCAGAAGATCTCCCACTCCAAGGCCCTGCCAAAGGATCTGTAGTTGGCTGTCCAAGAGCAAAGGGCTGGAGTGGATGTGATCGGGTGAAGTGCTCCTGACGGACCTCCTTAGATGAACTGGAGAAGCCTCCAATCACGGCTGCATGAGATTGAGGTAAGTGAGGCACTCACCTTGGGGGTGAAACTTCAGAAGGTGCAAAAAGCTCAGCAATCATGAGAAATAATATTCTAGTGCGGTATTTTTAAAAATCAAAATTAATGTAGAAAAATTCAAGATGAACTAAAATAATGAAATTTTAACTGAAGATACTGGTGTGGACAGGATTGTGTCCTCTCCAAAATTTATATGTTGAAGCATTGACCTCCCAGGTGACTGTATGAAGACAGGGCTTTGTGAGGAGGTGATTATGGTCAACTAAGAGCATAAGAGTGGAGCTCTTATCCAACAGAACTGGTGTCCTCATTAAAATGGAAGACAAACCACCTCTCTCTATCTCTCCCTGTCTCTCTCTTGCCTCCATGGGAGGCCTGAGAGAAGTGAGAAGGCTGCTGTTTGCAAGCCAGAAAGGGAGCCCTCACCATACACCTAATCAACCAGCACCTCAGTCTTGAATTTCCCAACCTTCAAAACTGTAAGAAATAAATTTGTTGTTTAAGCTACCCAGCCTGTGGTATTCTGCCTGGCAGGCCAAGCAGACTAAGACGGATAGGTCCTGCAGTGTTGTGCTGACTATCTTAGAGCCTGAGGCAGTAAGAAAAATGTCTGTCTCTATACATGTTTTAATGTTACTTTTTAAATGTTCTGTTTTCCAGAACATTAAAGGCATTGGAAAAGTATATACTTGTTTCCATGAAGGCCGGGAAAGTAAAATTATAATTAGTTCTGGTTTGGGTTATATATAGAATATTTAAAATTAAAAGAATGTTGTACATTTTAATATCTCTATTTTACATTTTTTTCCAATTTTTTAAACACTTCAATGTTCTGGAAAAAACCCTAGCTATTAAAAATATACAACACCATGCAGAAGGAACAGCAGTTTTCCTTTGGCTGCAGGCTCCACGATAGCTTGTGACGGTGTTGCTCAGAATCCAAAGGCAAGTTTCTTCTGAGATTTCTTTTATTGCTTATTTCTTTTATTTTCTTTATTACTGAAGTAATATATACTCACTAAAAATAATAATCTGAAGGCAATCACCTGAAGAGGAGAACCAACAGAATATATATTACTCCATCCAACTGGAAAAATGCTAGGGTTCCATCTTGAGTCAGATGTCTATCTACTTCTGTCCTTTGCCCATGAATGTATAAATGTCAAGCAGGAAACTACGACCCTCTCTTGACATTCCTTGAGGAGGGAGCTATGTTACAGTGCCTACTGCCTCTCTCCCCACTCTCACTCTTCCCACGGGAGGTGGGTATTGCGAGAGGGGCTCATATACAGTGCTCAGCCCTTCTTGTCTTTGGGAACCTGCCTGTCCACAGAAACTGTGTTCTGGTAAGCTCAGTTCCTCTGTACTCTCCCCAGCAGAGGGCAGGCTCCACAGCAAAGGCCACTGTCCTGAGGGGAAAAGGGGTCTTGTTTATGGGCCACTACTGATATAATATTCCAACAGGTTATGCAAGTTTGGCTACATATATTCTCTCTCTCTCTCTCTCCCTCCCTCCCTCTCTCTCTCTCTCTCTCTCTCTCTCTCACACACACACACACACACACACACACACACAAGAGAAAATCTTGAAAACCTTAGTTGATTGAAGATATTCAATTTTGCCCAAATCACCTTTTCAATCAAATTTCCATGTGGCCAACTTGTTTTCTGACCACATTATCTTATTTGATTTTAATTCATCTTTTAGATGGGGTGTCACTCTGTCACCAAGGCCGGAGTGCAGTGGCAAGATCTCAGTTCACTACAACCTCTGCCTCCCAGGCTCAACCATCCTTCCATGTCAGCCTTCCAAGTAACAGGGACCACAAGTGTGCACTACCACACCAGGCTAATTTTTTGGTTTTTTGGTAAAGATGGGGTTTCACCATGTGGCCTAGGTTGGTCTCAAACTCCTGAGCTCAAGAGAACCACCTGCCATGGTTTCCCAAAGTGCTGGGATTACAGACATGAGCCACTGCACACGGCCTTGACTACATTCATTTAAATGAAAAGACCCAGAGCCATCCTTATTGAGTCTCTTTTATATAACTAGCTTTCATCTTCTACTTCTACTTCATTGTGTATTTATCTGGTCACAAGCAGCCACCGATTGTTTTTTCTTCTCCTGTTGGCCAGCAGAATTTCTGTGAACAGATCCTCTGACACTAAGAAGTGTAGAATTTTCATCTTCTCTCATAGGACCTTGACCCTGAGCTTTAGGTTGTACATAATATACAGTTCTTGGGTCACTGCATTGCTGTTTTGGTCCCAGGGTGGCTTGTGGATGGGGCTAAGGCTCACCTGTGTTGTTAGGTGTCCAGCACGTCTTACCTGGGCATGCTCCTGGCTGGGCACAGCGCTCAGACCTGTCGCTGCCATGTATGTGCTGCCAATGGTCTTGATCTTTTCAACTCCACTGAATTTTGGCTTGGACAGAAGCTGTGAAGCAATGACAACCATCCAGTTACTCAGTTGGATGCTGACCTGAAGCTGAGCAGTTTATAGAGACATTCTCAATTGCTGGTTCATGTGAGGATTCACTCAAGGTAGTGACAAAAATATTAAAGAAAAAATATTATAGAAAGTTATAGAATATACTCACAAACCTTCTTGGAAGACCAAGAAATCTGCATAATTTCAGGAGACATTTCAGCTGAAGGCAGCCTAAATCCTTTTTACATTTATTTAATTAAAAAAAAGCAAATAACTAAAGTAGATAGAAGAGTTTATCTGCATAATCTGTTTACTCATGTAGTCTTAAAACTAACCTTTGAGCCCAATAGCTCTTTCAGAAAGAAGTCAGCCAAAGATAGTATCCACTAATAGTGTTTGCTTTAGGCATCAGAACCTGTCCTTTAATATTCAACCTGTAGTAGTGTTGCTTCAAGCCTTTGTCAATTAAGCTTTACTAAGTAAATGCACATCTCACTAGCTGAAGAAGGCCAACAGTTGCAACTGTTTACAGCACTCTCCAAAGTGCCTGTAAGCCACCCAGACACATTCAGTCAAACTAGCAAATTATCTGTGTGTAAGTGTACTTTATTCATCCATTGCTGAGTCAAAGTCTGCAGGGCAGATCCCTGCAAGTGGTAACCCTGACAGGTTCAGAAGAAGACCGTGACTTGTTTCAACCACTGCTTATGCACCCTTGGGCCTTGGGATTTTCCAGGAACAAACACTTCATATATTTCATACAGAGCATGTCCTTTGAGGAAAGTGCGGCAGCATGATTTACTTCCAAGGAACATGAATTACCATTCAAACTTGGCTAGTGATGGAACCAAGATGAATTATGATGCAAATGACAATGGGCTTGAATAAATTTCCTGACTATGCATATGAAAGGCATAAATATAAAAGTATGATTTGATGACTAAGGTCTTTTCTTGCACTGTCAGAATGATTTATGATCAATTATTCATGCTGAGGACTGGCTTTTGCCCTCTGAGAGACAGGGTCTTACTCTGTCACAGTAGCTGGAGTGTAGTGGCATGATCATATTTCATTGCAGCCTCCACCTTCCAGGCTCAAGTGAACCTCCTGCCTCAGACTCCCAAGTAGCTGAGACCACAGGCATATGCAACCATGAACAGTTAATCTTAAATGTTTTTTTTTTTTTTTTTTTTTTTGCAGAGACAGGGTCTCCCTATGTAGCCCAGGCTGGTCTCAAACTCCTGAGCTCAAGCTATCCTCCTACCTTGGCCACCTAAAGTGCTGGGATTACAGGCATGAGCCACTGCAGCTGGCCTGAGCCTTAATATTTCTTGTCTTCGAATCAGTTATCAGCGTCCCACTTGACTCCTCCTTAGTCTATTAATTTAGGCTTTCAGCTGGGATGGAAGAAAGATATGAATAAGTACAGACGCTGTAGGAAAGAAGAGGAATGGGCTTGCAAGTGATGGAAGCCCTGGAAGGTCTGTATTTTCTTGGGAGGGCCAGGCTCAAACGGCACTGACCAGAGACCAAGAGCATTTTCTTGCCCCTTCCTTGGAACTCCTGATTTCGGAGGAGATTCCTCCAGGATTACATATCAAATAATTTAAGACAGATGAGCAAATCCCTGTGTCACCTATCCACATATCCACTGTTACTCACCCATTAGTACTGGGAGTATTTATTTCACTGAAGAGCAGCTGAGATTCCCAGCCACTGTTTGTCATGATGCCCCCGGGATTGCAGTGGTCATCTCTGGTGGTCATGATTTCTCCAGGAATTTCTAGCATCAACCTCACAGTGATGATGGTTGTGAGAGAAAACACACAGGGCCCACAAGACATTTAGGTGGTTTGCCTGAAGCCACTGTGTTATATAATCTCGCCACATCACTGTATTTCAAAATTCCATGAATCATCGCTAACATAAGCTCCCAGACAGATGTCAATTTTCTTCTATTTTGCAGGATAGTGATAAGAATAATGTGGCTGCAATATCCTTAAACCAGAGGGGTGTTTGCTCTTGCTGGGAAATAGAACATAGTATTCTCTATGCAGAAAGTTGAAAAATGACACCTATTTCAAATTCTAAAACAGACACTTTGTCCCTTCTAAAGCGTGTTGTATTATTCCCCCATACAGATTGTATTTTCAATAATAAAATGTCATCCATGCATAGTGCAAGTTGATATCTGACAGAGGCATTGAAGTAGGCACAGATACAATAATAATCTATTATAATATATTATCTTTTTTACATAGAAAGAGATGGGCAAGTATTTTATCTAGAATTCAAGCCTTTGTAGAGGATCCATGAGCACACTGGATCCACATTTGATTCAACAGATTTTGGTAGCTGTTCCTAGCAGTCACACCAGCTTCAAAAATACAATGTATTTGTCTACCTCAAATTAGTCAGAGACCTAAATAAAGCAAAAGCCTTTAATGCCAGATGCCAGAAATCATGCCAAAGGACAAGTTGTTTTAGGATATGCCTCTATCCTGAACTAACTTCAAGTGCACAGGAACATCAAGGTGTGAGACTGGGTGTCCTCCTGCCCTTTAAAGGCAACTCTCAGTACCTACATCATCAAAGTCAGCGATGATCTCGTTCAAGAGCCGAAGGCATTCCAAGCCCTCCTTGTTCACGTCGGATTCTGTGTAAAACTCTTTGAAATCCGGAATGGAGGCAAACATGACGCAGACGCAGTCATAGGACTGGTGGTATAGGTCCTGCTTGGGAGAAAAGCACAAGCTGATCACTAGGAGACTGACCTTTAAACAAAAACACTCCACATGCAAGTGTTTTGTTTATGCCAGGATTCACCGAGAAATCACCCAAATGCCTACTCCACCTGCCCCACCCCAGCCGTGGCCCAATCTACACGCTGCTGCTGCTCTCAGGAGAAGGCTTCTAATGAGCTGGATTCAGGTCACTACCAGTTAAGAGGAGGTGCCTTGCCAGTTAAACCTCTCTATCATATTGACCTTACACAATGACAAGAGACCACAGAGTTCTGGCTTAGGAAAAAGCGTCCTTTAAACAACTAAAAGGAAACAAAATGTTTTCCCAAACTATCAGATTGTCCTGAAATAACTCGTTATGGCTCTAGTATTTGGATGGGAGTCTTGATGAATTTTCCTCTTCGGTGTCCCCTGAAAAGAGCATATGGAATTCATCAAGTTACTCGTTATTACAGGAGAAAGAACCAAAAGAACTCCTCAGTCTACTTATTTATATTATATTAGACACTGACTACATTTACTAGGGATATTCTTTTGTTTTTAAATAGAAAGAGGCTCATAGTTCTTCATCCATAGACATGAGTTAAATTGCAATGTCTTGTAAATACAATTTCAAGATGTTTCCATAATTTTCCTAAAACAGTGACACCTTCGAAACAATGAAAGTTTCAGAAAGGAAGAGCTGTTAGGTGGTCTTGTGGGCTAGTCCAAGGTGTGGAGGATCTGCCTGTCACTGGCAAGGGCTTCTGAGACCCCTGAGATGGCCCCAACACAGGCAGACCGGCCGGGGCCACTGAGGATGCAGTGCGGCATGGGCAATGCTTTCTTCTCCAGGCAAGGTGAGGAGAGTTCTGTTAGACAAGATGGCCGACTTCTGAGTAGAGGGAAAAATGCTAGTGGTGGGTGCTTCCTGTGTGTTTGGCAGGGCGAAGGAATCCATTCTACATGAACATTATCAGTAAGCCCTGCTCTTTGGGGCACCCAGATGAGCTCCTTTGCAGACAGCAAACACTTAAATAGTATTATAACTCCAAGGTTTGGTGGCACCTCAGAGGAACAGTTCTTCCCCTAGCGAGGTCCCCTCACAAAACCATCAGAGCCACGGAAACCCAACTGAAGGCCACACAGTTTTGAGAAAAAGTGGACTCATGTCCTGTTCTGGGTCTCAGGACCAGCCACTCTATAACGCCCACTACTTCCTCCAAATCTGTACAAAGTACATGAGCAATGAAATCAAGGTTTTCTTGTCTATTTTGTGCTCAATATGATTGAGCTGCTTTCTTGTGCATAATTGTGTTTTCTCTCGCTCTGCAAAGTTGCCTTTTTGAACATTCAGCCTTGGTAGGCAGCCTGTGACAGGTGAGGCACAGTGCTAGCAATGCTGACTGCAGCCAGCGGGTCAGAGTAACAGCGATGAGAACCCCCTAGGATCTCGTGTGAGTTAAAAATGTCAGTTCTGTGACCAGGCGCGATGGCTCACGCCTGTAATCCCAACACTTTGGGAGGCCAAGGCAGGCAGATCACGAGGTCAAGAGATCAAGACCATCCTGGCCAACATGGTGAAACCCCATCTCTACTAAAAATACAAAAATCAGCTGGGTGTGGTGGTGTGCACCTGTAGTCCCAGCTACTCAGGAGTCTGAAGCAGAAGAATCGCTTGAACCTGGAAGGTGGAGGCTGCAGTGAGCCTAGAGGCCACCGCCCTCCAGCCTGGTGAAAGAGCAATACGCCATCTCAAAAAAAGTCAGTTTTAAAAAAGTGGTATAAACGCCACTGGCTTCCCTGTCCGTAAGGAAAGGGTGCATCTAGCAAGGCGAGGACATATTTTCTGTAGCCTGCATTTCCCCACTGTCTGCTGACACTGGCCAGAGTGCTCTTTGGGGAATGATAATGATGACAAGACTAAGCATGACAATAGCTAGCACTTACTGAGCGCTCACCACATGGTAGGACAGGTACCTCTCTGAACACTTTACCTGCATGAACTCACCCCAACTACAACCCTATGAGGCTGATATTGTAGTTTTCCATCTACGAATAGAGAAACTGAGGCACAAAGTGGTTCCGATACTTGCCCAAGGTTGCAGTTATCATGTCTGACAGTAGAATCCACCCTTGTGCATGCTACACTTTATACTTTATCAAGTCTCCTGGAAGATCATGGGCTTCACTGCTTGGCGTGGGGACAGCATGGGGCCTCTGACACTTGCAGGTCCTGTCATTTTACCTTTGTCTTTTCCTCTAGAGTCTTTAAGGGTATCTGGGAGTTGGAGATCATGAAATGCAAGACTGAACTGATGGGCAGTTTGGATCTGACATGTCATTTCATTACACAGGACCAAAATGGGGGTGCACAGGAGAATCTCTAAAGGACTTCCAAGAAGGCAGGTGCCTGGGCCTCCCCACTCACCAACTGACCCTCATCCCCTAGGCTGGGCTCCAAGTATGGGCATGGTTTTGAAAAGTTCTCTGGGTTATTCTGCTGTGCAGCCTTGATTAAGAATGACAGACTACATGAGGAAATGGAGCTCACGGGAGCTGGGGGTGCCACCAAGGCTCCCAGCTGGCTGAGGGGAAGGGCCAGGACCAATCCCTGGATTCTCTGCAGGCCGTGAACACTGCTGGAAAGCTTGGACTACAAACTGATCACACACCTTCTTTGGCAGAGCATCACTTGGAACCTCTGGGGGAATGTCCAGGGTGAGCTCCAGTCACTGGTCACCTGGTCCTGAGATTCATGGCTTCCATAAAACTATAACTACTGGAAAACCATGGAAACTTCTAGGCTTCCCAAATTCTCTGGAGCCTGTGAAACTTTCAGGGCTGAGAACTATGCCTTGAACTCATGAGAGGTCCCCCCCCATGGTTGGATTAGGCTTGGGGCTAGAGAGGATTATATGCTGACTGGCAGATGACTTGAGCTTGCCTTATGCTTCCAGAGGACCTGGGGGTTGGGGTAGGGCAGGTGGCAGCTTTTGAAGATAATTTGGAATTCAAGGTCTAGAATGGGTGATCCATGTCCAGCATATAGTTACCCAAAAGCATTACCAAGCTTTAGAACTGAAAGTAAGTTTAAATGTCACCTTGACATTCATTCACATGTAACCTTTCTGTTGAATAAGTTCAAGGAATGAAAACATAGTCACGAAGCAAATGCATTTCTGTGCCCACTACCCCTTTCAGTTTTTGCAGTGTGGCTAGATCTTTCCCTATCTTGGACGAACACCTGGGACTACCCCTGGCCCTTCATGTCACTGTGTGTAATGCAAGGTCCTCTCATTGATAATCAGAGGCCCCGGCCCCAGAAATAGGCAAAACTCTTGCCCTCATTGTACCTGTGGCTTGTGCCCTTCCCCAGCGGGAGCCTTTTGCAGGCGGAGGAGGGGATCCGTTGGTTTCCACTCTCTCTCCACCTCTCTTTCTACCTCCACTCTTCCTAACTTGCCAGCTGGGTTTTCTAAACCATCCAGAACAGAGAACAGGGGAAGGGGGAAGAGGCTTGAGGCAGGACAGCTTCCTATTAGCTGCATCTCGTTCCCTGAATATTCAAAGCTGGTGTCCCCTGTGGACGCTTTCATGGGTTTTTGGAAGGCTCCCTGCTGTTTCACCCATCCTTGGACATCCCCCCACCCCCAAGTCTTCCACGATGGAGGCTATGTGCATCCCTCCTGCTCCTCATCACCCTCTCAGGTCCAGGCTTTCAGGCTGCTTCTTTGAGTTTCTCTGCCACGGTCGCTTCACCCCATCCTGCCCCCCCACTCCAGGCAGCTTTGTAACATTGGATCTAAAACAACCTGACACCACTTCTCTTTTTCTTGCTTGGTTCTTGAGCAACACTCGGTACTCTTTGCCGTCCAAACAACGGACAGTCCAGCCATGTCCCGAACCCCAGCTCCCCATCCCGCGTGCCCAGATGCCCCATCAGTTCCTGTGTTCAGCATTTCCAAGTGTCAGAACCTGCCTGCCATATGTGTTCCCCAGCTGGAGATGCTTCCCAAGACCACTCAGAGACTCAAGGCCAGGCTGAGCAGTTCTGGCCTGTTCACAAGGCTGGAGGTGAGGGCGGATCCCCACCTTCCCCTTTAGGAAGGAGCTTAGCCCCACTACATTCTGTCCAAACACTCTTTCAACCTCTAGTCTTCTGGCCAATTCATAAACTCCCTGCAGGTCAGGAAGTCATTTGTAAGCTCTGCACACCGTTTGATGTCTCCTTTGGAATAAGAGAGCAAGTATCTCTTAGTGTCACAGGCTGAAATTCCCTTTGACACCCTGTTACACACACATGTGGCCTCTCAAAGGGCCTGTTGTGTGTCAGGCTTCATATCAGGTGTTAAGGACACAAAAACAACACAGGCCCTGCCCTTAAGGAGCTTAAAGTCTAGTTGGAGAGACAGGGAAAACAAAGAAAACATCATAAAGTATGATTGGTGCTGCGGGCCCAGGTGTGGGGACGTCTGGAGCTTTTCATCCAGGTGGGCACAGGGTTAAAGTATTCTAAAAAACATTCAAAGCTGCTACTCGCACTCAGGTCTCCAACCTTCCAGACCAGACTGGTGCTTTGTCTCACCGACTCGGGCTGCATAAAGGCTTTGGATCTTGCACATTTCCTTAGTTGACCTATGTGGGAAACATTAAGCCCTGGTGTCCCCGACTGTCACTTAATGCCTAATTTACTCAGGGAAGTCAAATGACTAGAAGTACAGAAGCATCTATTGAAACCCCAGGGGCATGTCAGCCTGACCTCCTGCAGAGGACATGTGCTCATAGAGCTTAAAACTTGGCGCTGTTGAGGGATCTGCCCGGTTGTCACTGGGAGGGCTCTCACATCAGAATGGGAGGTGCTGTTTGCACAGGAGATGTGTTTCCCAAATTTTTGTGGTGGCATCTGTGGCTCATGTGGCTTGTTTTGATCAAGCCTTGGCTCCCTCTGAATGAAGCTGTCTGGATCACAATCCTCTACCACCTGGGGACTTGGCACGGGCTTGATT